AAATTATTTATAAATGCGCCAACGAGGTCGATTAAATCCAGCCCTAGGATGATTCTATGGACAATTCTAAGAAACTTTGGTGATGGAACCATAGGTCTAACACGATTTTCGAGTCTCCCACTTTTCAAAAAATAATTTTTTCATTATAACACGATTTTGATAGTCGTAAAGTCGATCAGGACCGATTATATGATGCCCTACACAACTACCATTCAACTCTATCTTTCTGGCATATTTTCCGAAAACCGTTTTGCAGGAAGGTGAGGGTTCGTTTTTTTATTTTACACACAAAAACTTGGCTAATATCACCAGCTAAAAATTGACCGCCTGTTTTGATAATCAGTCATTAATTAGTTGGTCAGATTTCTTTCCCCGTGACCTATAATGCGATTAGAAAACCATACAAAAATTAACTATCGCCGGAAGTTATAGGCGCCATCCTTGATCGTAACCCGAACATCCTGTAAAATGTTAAAGCGATCAGTGCGATATTGCCGCCCTCTTATGTGGTAATAGAAATACTAAGCAATATCACAATATGTAGACTCCTGAAAATATTTGGATGGCAGGAACATTACATGGGTACAATATCCATACATATTTATAATTTTTGGCAAGAAAATTTGCTATCCAAAGAAAACCGAAAATATCAAATTAAAGCCAATTAATTAAAAAAAAAATATCCAATTGGGGCTATCACAAAAAGTTGGGCCAATATTGACACTTTTTGATAGGTATATTTTCTAATCAATGAGATTCCAAAACTTGCCAAATGTCGGCAAAATATCGAAATTTAGAAGGTACCGCTATATGGAGGATACCCTAAATATGGACCAATATTATTAAAATTTGGTAGAAATATTTTACACGGAATGAGAATAACGTCCCAAAATGTTGGTGGGTAAAAACGAAGACCAATATATCCCATTTTCTATATTAAACATTCTAGGAGTGGTAGCAGTTTCTTGTTCCAATTCCAGGTTAAAAATAGATTTTGGGTCATATAGAGATATACAAATATATTGTGACTAAATACATATTTTTTTTTTTTTTTTGAAGAGATAATGATGATCAATTTTGTCGGTGACAAATTTGATAAATAAAAAAACATTTTCACCTATGTTTTCTATGATATCTCTATGTCTAGAAACCACTAGAATTGTTGCTAAGTTGTCGACCTGTATAATTTCCTTATAATAGAAGAAGGAACAATCGTGTTTTTCTTCTAATTATAACGTGTTGCACCCGTGTTTAATCTGGCAAAAACCCTATTTCGAAAAATAGAATTTGAATTTATGCCAAAATGAAATAAATGCATGTAAATATTTCTAGAAAGTTCATCGAAGTCACATTCGGAATTCATGATAGCAAATTTGTCATTATTTGTCTAAAGTGTCAGACAATTGAAAAATAATTATATACATATGTTTGGCAAACCTATTCGTAACAATTTGTTGATATCAGAGACATAGTCGACGAAAATGTTAAAGAGAGAGTTTAGGGGTCCACATTTTTATACCCTACACACCTATGTTATTAGGATATTATAGCTTTGTGCAGCCCCAAGTGTTTGTAATGACGCGAAATATTGGTCCTAGACCCACCCACTAGCTGAGTCGAACTAGACATGTATGTCCGTCCGTCTGTCCATTATAATTTGTAAACACGATAGAGGCCACAGTTATAGACCAATCTTCACGAAATTTTGAAGGATGGGTTCTGGCCAATGAAGACCCCTATTGCTTTTGGTAAAGATCGATTATTATTTAGGGGATGAAATGGACCAAAAACTTTATTTTTGTCTGATTTTCTGGTCGCTTAGAGGCCGCAAACCGAAAATGTATTGTACCCTTCACCACACTGTGCAACAGGGTATTATGTCTTTGTGGATATGTTTGTAACAGGCAAAAAGAAACGAGATAGACACATGGTTCCTTTTGAGAATATGCATAGATTCACTTTCTATGTCGATTTATGCATATCCGACCGTCCGTCTGTTGGTGTAAAATTGTAAACAAAGTACAGGTCGTATTTATAATCCGAATTGAATGAAATTTGGCACAGCTCATTTATTTGGCCCAAGGACGAACCCTATTGAAATTGGTAAAAATCGGTTCAGATTTAGATAAAGCTACCATATATATTTTTGTCTGAATGGTGCACCAAAGTCCCTATATATCTTTCGATTTCCACGAAATTTAGAATGACGTACTGAATTGAGCCTAGAGTGATGTCTGGCAAGTTTCGTGAAAATCGGTCCAGATTTTGGTATAGCTCCCATATATAGTTTCGTCCGATTTAATGTAAATGGTGCATCAAAGTCCATATATATCTTTCGATTTGCACGAAACATGGCATAAGGTGCTGAATTAAGCCTAGAATGATGTCTGCCAAGTTTCGTGAAAATCGGTCCAGATTTAGATATAGCTCCCATATATATATATACGTCCGATTTAATGTAAATGGTGCACCAAAGTCCCTATATATCTTTCGATTTGCACGAAACTTGGCATAACGTACTGAATTAAGCCTAGAATGATGTCTGCCATGTTTCGTGAAAATCGGTCCAGATTTAGATATAACTCCCATATACAGCTTCGTCCGATTTTATGTAAATGGTGCACGAAAGTCCCTATATATCTTTCGATTTCTACGAAATTTCGCATAACGTACTGAATTGAGCCTTGAATGATGTCTGCCAAGTTTCGTGAAAATCGGTCCAGATTTAGATATAGCTCCCATATATATATATATATATATATATATATAAATATATATTCGTCCGATTTTATGTAAATGGTGCACCAAAGTCTCTATATATTTTTCGGTTTGCACAAAATTTGGCATAACGTGCTGAATTAAGCCTAGAATGATGTCTGCTAAGTTTCGTGAAAATCGGTCCAGATTTAGATATAGCTCCCATATATATATATATATTTTCGTCCGATTTTATGTAAATGGTGCACGAAAGTTCTTTCGACTTCTACGAAATTTCGCATAACGTACTGAATTGAGCCTTGAATGATGTCTGCCAAGTTTCGTGAAAATCGATCCAGATTTAGATATAACTCCCATATATAGTTTCGTCCGATTTTATGTTAATGGTGCACCAAAGTCTCTATATATTTTTCGGTTTGCACAAAATTTGGCATAACGTGCTGAATTAAGCCTAGAATGATGTCTGCTAAGTTTCGTGAAAATCGGTTCAGATTCAGATATAGCTCCCATATATATATTCGTCCGATTTTATGTAAATGGTGCACGAAAGTTCTTTCGACTTCTACGAAATTTCGCATAACGTACTGAATTGAGCCTAGAATGATGTCTGCCAAGTTTCGTGAAAATCGTTCCAGGTTTAGTTATAGTCCCTATATATCTTTCAATTTGGACGAAATTTGCCGAAGCGTACTGAATTGAGTCTGGAACGATGTGTGCTATGTTTCGTAATTTAACGGGCATGTTCTGGCATTCACTTCAACGGCAGAAGTGTATCGAACACACGCCGAGGTGTTCTGTAACACACTTTACACCCATTTGAGGTGTATTCTTTACACTTACATTTCCATAGTGAGAGTCGGGTGTATTCCTGTTTTTTCATATAAAAGAAAATCTTTTTTGAAATAAAAAACGCACATTATGATAGATTGATTTGTTATTATTGCGTATAATTTGTTTAAAATCACAAAATGAACATGAAACACCATTAACAACAAATTTTAAATAGATACTAAGGTTTGTCTTAAATTTTCTTCAATTGAATTTCTTGCTTGACACAAACAACTGATTGAAGTAAGGCCGAAAAAGATAGGGTTACCAAATGTTCCGTTAAATCAATCAAGAAATTAATGTTATTACAGAGGTTTCATACATATATTTTATGTTGCGAATAAAAAAATATTAAAAAATAATAATAAAATTGTCGTTAAAATTAACGAAATTACTAAAAAATTACAGAAACAATGTTAAAAACAAATACAGTTTATATTGAATGGCAACACTATTTCTGCAAAGTACCATGTCGACGTTTATTTTTGTCGCAGTTCAAAATTTCAATTCACGTGAGAAGCAGAACAGGAGGTAGCTTCTGAGGTGAAGTGTATGTGTAAAGTGAAAAGAACACGCCGTGAGTTCCAGAACATACCCGTAAAATTTATTTTTTTCCTCCAAATATTAATTTCCCATCTCTGCTCCCATCAGAGACATTGTAGCGTATATCTGGCAATCCGTATTGACCGGCAAATAATTATTTTTGTATTCCGTTTCTAAAATAAACAGTTTCGAATGTTGGCGTACAAAATATGTGACTATTTTTAGTAAGTCAGGTGGATGGTTTGTTGATGTTTATTTGGTCGCCAGAATGAGCAATAAAATCAACGACATCATCATAACCACCACCCACCACCTCCACCAATTCCTAATCTGCTGACTGTAAACATTAATTCCTAGCGACTAAGTGAATATTAGACGCCAAACATTTTCACTGCTTATGACCATCAAATTGCCAAAAAGGTGGAATGTGGGCAGAAGGGCCAGCCAAGCGGGGACACTTATTTTATATGACTTTTTTTACAGCTTATGAATTCGCACATTCGCAACAGAATGACAAACATTTGCTGCTGCTGCTGACTAACAAACAAAAAGCATATTTTCTTCTTGTTCCGTTGAATGGCCATTCGATTTGTTGTGCGATTTTTTGGGCATTTTTTCGATTTTTGTTTTTGGTCAATTGCCAAAAGAAAATTATTGTTGTTGTCATTAAGGGGTAACGACGCATACACTCGTTGGTAGGGGGAAACGGCAGAAAATTCTTGTCAATAACAACATTGTTGTTGATATTTGTCAAAAGTAGCAACAACAACACCAAGAAAAAACCACTTTCACTGTTAATTGAAGAATGTGGCGGCCTGACGCATACTAATCGCGGATAAGAACTGGGGTGGGGGTGGTGTTATGGACCACACCATTACACATGTTTGTAATACAATGAACTGCCAACTTACCTTGGTGGAATTTCTTCGGTTTTGTTGTTATTGCACGCCGAGGTGTTTTCATATTGCTGGAAATTTTCAGGGCCTGCCGATGCCAAAACGGGGTCCCTTTGTTCCAGAATTTGCATGTTTTGTTGCGGTTGTTATATATTTTTTGACGATTTTTTTTTTTAATTTTTTTTCAGGTGTTTGGTAATTTTGTTTTATTTTTTTCTCTGTTTTTTTTTTTTTGCGAAAATTCACGATTATTCTTTTGTTGTTTTCAAATTTTTATTTCGTTTTGCTTTTGGCTTCTTTTCAATTTAGCACGTCTTTACGGCTCTACGTTTAAAAGTGAACTGGTCTGGTTGGCTGGCCATCATCATCATTCATACATCTATTCACTTGGGTATGCGGAGAGCACAAAAAATTCGAAACAAGAACAACAACAAAACGTAAATGTTTCAAACAAAACATTGCTGACGTTCTGTTGCTGTTGTTTTTGTTGCTCACGGTTACAATTTTTACTACCAACCAAAAAAAAACGAAAAACAACAAAGAACTTTGAGAGTCATGAACCGAAATTCATGTTAAGGGGGTGGTTTCGATGGCTAGATTGTTTCGTGGCATAAACAAGCACAGTGTTCTGAAATTGGACTTTTCAAAGCTCTTTGATAAAATTTGAAAAAATATGTTTAAAAAAACCTTAACCGGATGGGGCCGACTATATGATACCCTTCACCACTATGGGTACCAATCTGAAATTTATTAAAAATTGAATGTCAATCATCGAGCAAAATATGTAAAAGATCTATATATAAATGGACACAGTGCGCTATCCAAAATTTATCTCGATACAAAATCCAATGCATGCATCAATCTAGACCTAATTCAGAACTCTGTGTAAAATTTTGTCTCAATCGGACAAACATCTATAGTATGGTAAATCGGCCTAAATTTGACACTTTGGTGCACTATTTACCTAAAATCGGATGAAACTATATATGGAAGCTATATCTAAATCTGAACCGATTTCAACAAAACTTGGCATGTATCAATCTAAACCTAATTCAGCACTGTGTGCACAATTTTGTCTCAATCGGACAAATATTGTGGGTTTGGTGCACCATTTACCTAAAATCGGACGAAACTATATATTGGATCTATATCTAAATCGGAACCGATTCCAAAAAAACTTCGCATACATCAATCTGGGCCTAATTCAATAGTCTGTGCAAAATTTTGTCTAAATCGGAAAAAATATTGGGAGTTTGGTGCACAACTTACCTAAAATCGTACGAAACTATATATGGGAGCTATATCTAAATTTGAACCGATTTCAATAAAACTTGGAATGTATCAATCTAGACCTAATTCAGTGCTGTGTGCAAAATTGTGTTACAATCGAACAAAAATTGGGAGTTTGTGTTCCATTTATATAAAATCGGACGAAACTATACATGGGAGCTATATCTAAATCTGAACCGATTTCAACAAAACTTGGCATGTATCAATCTAAACCTAATTCAGCACTGTGTGCAAAATTTTGTCTCAATCGGACAAATATTGGGGGTTTGGTGCACCATTTACCTAAAATCGGACGAAACTATATATTGGAGCTATATCTAAATCGGAACCGATTTCAAAAAAACTTCGCATACATCAATCTGGGCCTAATTCAATAGTCTGTGCAAAATTTTGTCTAAATCGGAAAAAATATTGGGAGTTTGGTGCACCACTTACCTAAAATCGTACGAAACTATATATGGGAGCTATATCTAAATCTGAACCGATTTCAATAAAATTTGACATGCATCAATCTAGACCTAATTCAATACTCTGTGCAAAATTTTGTCTCACTCGGACAAATATTGGGAGTTTGGTGCACCATTTACCTACAATCGGACGAAACTATATATCCAAGCTATATCCAAATCTGAACCGATTTCAAAAAAATACTTTGCACACATCAATCTGGGCCTAATTCAATACTCTGTGCAAAATTTTGTCTCAATCGGACAAATATTGGGAGTTTGGTGCACTATTTACCTAAAATCGGACGAAACTATATAGGGGAGCTTTATCTATATTTAAACCGATTTTCTCCATTTTCAATAGGGTTTGTCCTTGGGCCAAATAAGTGACCTGTACTTTGTTCACAAAAATACATGGACGGATAGACGGACGTACATAAATCGACTCAGAAAGTGATTCTATGTATATTCCAAAAGGAACCATGGGTCTATCTCGATTATTTTTGCCTGTACTACAGTGTGGTGAAGGGTATAAAAAATAAGTTTTCGGTCCACTTCATCCCAAAATTTCATCTTCCAATATTAATGGGTTACTAAATAATATATGAATACGTAAACACCTGTAAATATTTAAGTGTAACTCCCACATCGGAGGACATACGACCATATAATTTGTAAGCACTTAAAGGTCAACCTCTTGAACATGCTATCAACTTCTCGGGTCTAGGTCCTTCAACGGCAAATATATACGCCATAGAATAAAAATTTTGCCATTTTTCACACAAAAGTCAGGGTCCATTTGACCCGCTAAATATTAACCGATCTTTATGAAAACAGGCATGCTTTTTCTCTGAACCGGTCCCCTTCTGCATGTAAAATTTCACTATGTTCGGGCAATAATTGTGGCCTATGGAGTGACCAGAAAATCCGACAAAAATTTAGTATACAGGGTGGGATGAAAAAACTGCAACCAACTTTAGACTGCTGTCATTTCTAAGCCATTCGTCCGAAAGCTGTTAACATTTTTCCAGTGACAGCTCATTATATTGTTAACAAGCGTACAAAAGCATTTTGGTAAGAATTTTTCAGAAAAAAGTTATTTGTGTTGGAACAGGAAGAAAATAGACTGAAAAAAGCTAAAGAGCATGGCCGAAAGTGGTGAACTGCCGAATTTGGTTTTCTTCGATGAGAAACCTTTCGTTGTCCAGCAGTTTGTAAACAAAGAAACTGATCGTGTTTACTTGCCGAAGAGGTCAACTGAAAATGTGAACCATCGGTTGGCCACCAAAACTCAAGCGCCGGCCATGGTGGTGGTGTGGGCCGCCATAACAGCCGATGGTAGTTCTTCGCTCGTATTAATCGAATATCATCAGAATAAATGCTGAATATTATCGCAAAATATTCTGGAGGGTGTATTAAAGCCTTGGGCATGCAAACATTTTGGCCGCAGACCTTGGACATTTCAGCAGGCCCATCCCGAGTGCGATGGTGGACGCGCCACCCAAAAATGTTTACAAAATGAGGTTCCTCTCTTCATTTCCATGGTCACCAACATCTCCTGATATCAATCCGTTGGACTAATGTGTCTGGAGTATTTTGGAAAGCAAAGTTGGCACAAATACCAAAGTGTCGATCACCTCAAGCAAGCGCTTCGCTGGGAATGCACCAAAATACCGCAGAGCAACAATCGAGCAGCGTGTGATGGTTTCATTGGCCGTTTGAAGGCCACAATTCGCGCCAAAGGTGACCAATTCAAACAAATGTAAACTTATTCTAAAATTTGACGTCATTTCCGACATTTTAGCTTACATTCAATAAAGTAAAAAAAGCGTAAAAATTATGGCGCTTGACTTTGTTGCAGTTTTTTTTATCTCACCCTGTATGGTCCAACACAACATAGGGGTCTTCATTGGCCATAAGCCATCCTAGGGTCTATAACTGTGGCATGTATCGTCTTTACAAATTATAATGGACAGACGGACGGACATACATGTTTAGATCGAATCAGCTAGTCGAGATATGATGATCGGTATACATAAAGGTGAGTCTACGACCAATATTTCGTGGTTTTACAAACCCTGGGGCTGCACAAAGCTATAATTCCCTGGCAACATTGTTGTGTAGGGTATAAAAAGTTAAAAAATTCCACATTTTTGCTGATCTCTAAACACTGTGGCCTGTATCGTGTTTACAAATTATAATGGACAGACGGACACACATGACTAAATCGATATATGATGATCGGTATACTTAAAGATGGGTCTGGGACCAATATTTCGCGGCGTTACAAACTCTTGGGGCTGCACAAAGCTATAATACCCTGACAACATAGTTGTGTAGGGTATAAAAAGCTAAAAAATTTCACATGTTTGCTGATTTCTAAACACTGTGCACATAATGCAACGGCGCTTAGTCAGCCAAAGTAAACTCAGACATTGAGTTCCGTGAGAGGGGCGACATTTTTTGGGTTGAGGGTTCGAAATTGTGGGAGGCAAAATAATGTCGGTGGCATGTCAACAGCGTATGTCGCTCGTTTGTCGTTTATCGTTTTGCATGCAAGCGTATCGATTTTAGCCAGGTATTCAACGACAACGAAAGAAACAAAACAAAAATTGGTTTTTATTGTTGTTGTTGTTTGTTCAAACACCTTTTGAACGGGTATGGGTGCAACACATTCGCATGTTAGCTGAATGATGTAATGTGCATATAAAAATCTCAAAATTTGTATTGCAAATTTAGAACGATATCGAATTTCGTTTTCATTTAGAATAAATAAAAAGTAAATTACTTTATGTAAGTATTTGCACACACAAACACATACATACGTAACACCTCTCATCACTTCCAACTCTAATGAACTGATTCAAGGCCAAATGCCAACATATCTGGCGAACAGCAGGAGCAAATTTAAATGTCTGTCTAGATATTTATATAAATACATTTACGAAAAATATATATTAAGTGTAAATATGTGTTTTTTTTTTGCACATTCCTGCCAGCAAGCAAATTAAGCCGTTTGCCAATATTTCTCATTTTGTGTTATTTTGAAACACATCTCAACGTCTGACACATTTACCTTTTGAATACGCTCGTCATAATATGTTTTCACAGATTTGTTTTTCTTTCTAAATGAAATTCTTTGTTTTGTCTACATCTCAACTACATTCCATGCATATTTCAATTGTTATTCATAAAAATTTAATTATGTCTTTTTTCAAATAATAATAAAACACTGTGGGTCAAAAGTATGTGATCGGACCACAAAGCATTAAAAAAAAGTATATGCTTAAAATCCATGCCTATATAAGTGGCTTGAAAAAAATATTTTGGAAAAATCCAAGGCAATATTAGTGATTTGAAAAAATATTTTTAAAAAAATCTGAACCTACATTAAATATATTTTGATTGTGCCTGAATACTTTTGCATTGTAGTGTATTGAATCTTATTGTCTAATTAACTTTTTCTTTGACAGCAACACTACCCACACAATCATAATTATGTACATACACATAGTCAACCAAACAAACATCCCCATATATCTATAGCTAATTTTGCGCTTTTTTCGTAAAAGGAATGCTAATGAATTTTCCTTGGCTCATCCAACATTCAGATATACCGACCATGTAAATGTACACAAATTTTCGTATGGATCCAAAAAAACAGCAGCAACAACAACAATATATATATGATTTTTTTGGGGTACAATGTACTCACTCTCGTACACCTTAAGAATTTCAGGAATTTTGGCTATTAATTTCAATTAAATTTATCTTTGGCTATGGGCCAAATTAAAGAAAATTCCAATAATGTTTACAGCGTGAAGAAAATCTGTATCTGTGAACTGAGAACAGGGAGGGAGAGAGTGGGAGGTCTGAGAGCAACAGCACCAGTAGTGTCAGTTTGGATATGAAAAGATGTTATTAATTTTATGTGCAAGAGGAGAGTGTATGTGCCCGTGGGGTGGGTGGGTGACTGAAATTGGGTGAAATATAAAGTAATCAAGTCAATTCGTAACGTATCGAAAATTGCTTATGATGCTGAGGAATTTCTTTGATGTTATTTAAAAACAAAACATGGAGAATTGCATTCTGGTGTGTTCTTTGCAGAGTGTGCAAAGAGTTTTGAAAAAATATTTTTTTCAAGTCATGTTTTTCGATTTCTTACTAAAATTTTTTTCAGGCCGCAAATAAAGGTGTGGATTTTAAAAATGTTTAAATGATAAAAATGTTTAAAAATATTTTTCAAGACTCATTTATGGGCGTGGATTTTTATAGCCTTCACCGCACTGTAGTACATGGTATTATGTCTTTGTGCATCTGTTTGTAACAGGCAAAAGGAAACGAGATAGACACAGGGTTCCTTTTGAGAATAAGCATAGAATCACTTTCTAGGTCGATTTATGTCCGTTGTTCGTCTCTGTTGATGTTAAATTGTAAACAAAGTACAGGTCGCATTTATGATCCGATTTGGATGCAATTTGGCATAAGGACGTACCCTATTGAAATTGGAAAAAATCGTTTTAGATTTACTTAAGTCGGTTCAGCGTACTGAAGTCAGCCTAGACTGATGTGTGCAAAGTTTCGTAAAAATCGGTTCACATATATTTTTGTCCTAAATAAGGTAAATGGTGCATCAAAGTCCCTATAAATCTTCCGATTTGGACGAAATTTGGCACAGCGTACTGAATTAAGCCTAGAATGATGCTAAGTTTCGTGAAAATCGGTTCAGATTTAGATATAGCTCCCATATAAATTTGCGCCCGATTTAAGGTAAATGGTGCACCAAAGTCCCTATATATCTTTCGATTTGCACGATATTTGGCACAGCCTAATGAATTAAGAGTAGAATGATTTGTGTTAAGTTTCGTAAAAATCGGTTGAGATTTAGATATAGCTTCCATATATATTTTCGTCCAATTTAATGTAAATGGTGCACTAAAGTGCCTATATGCAATTTTTCAAAGATAAGAAATGACGTGTGGTATTTGGTCCACACATTTAATTTCGTCATTTCTTCAGGATATTGTACATATGAGCATCTCTTGTATTTACCCAAAGTGGTGAAGGTTATCATATAGTCGGCCCCGTCCGACTTTACTACTTTCCTTATTGGTTTTTAAATATTTTTCAAGGCTCATTTCGACGCCTCCGAACCATAGTATGCAAAGTCGACTTAGCATGTTTTAAAGTTCTTTACGTTTTTAGATACTACGGTCCTTAATTTAAATTCACTGAAATTTTTGTAATCATCGGCTAATCCAAACCAAAATTATAAGCAACCAGTAAGGAAAGTAGTAAAGTCGGACGGGGCCGACTATATGATACCCTTCACCACTTTGGATATATTCAACAGATGAATCCTGACAGACGTGGAAGGACCATTAACACGAAAATGGATCCATAAACACACATATATATATATATATATATATATGTGTGTGTGTGAACCGATTTTAATGATACTTGCCAGAGATTGACTTATATTAACTACAGTTCATTGTACAAAATAGCAAACTGGCAATCGGACAAACATTGGGTTTCCAATGCACAATTTATATAAAATCGGAAGAAAATATATATAGGAGCTATATCTAAATCTGAACCGATTTTCACGAAACTTAACACACATCATTCTAGAACTAATTCATTACGCTATGCCGAGCAAATCGAAATATATATATTGACTTTGTTGCACCATTTTCATTAAATCGGACGGAAACTTGACACACATCAAATATATATATGAGCTATATTTAAATTTTCATTAAATCGGACGAAAATATATATGGGAGCTATATTTAAATCTGGACCGATTTTCAGGAAACTTGACACACATCAGTATAGACCTAATTCAGTACCCTATGCCAAATTTCGTGCAAATCTAAAGGTATATAGGGACATTGGTACACCGTTTACATTAAATCGGAAGAAAATATATATGTGAGCTATATCTAAATCTGAACCAATTTTTACGAAACTTGGCACACATCCCTCTAGTCGTAATTCAGTACTCTGTGACAAATTTCGTGCAAATCGAAAGATATATAGGGACTTTGGTGTCCCATTTATCTTAAATCGGACGAAAATATATATGGGAGCTATATCTAAATCTGAACCGATTTTTCCCAAATTCAATAGGGTTCGTCCTTGGGCCAAATAAATGACCTATGCCAAATTTCATCCAATTCGGATCATAAATGCGACCTGTACTTTGTTTACAATTTAACATGGACAGACGGACATGTGTAAATCGACTCAGAAAGTGATTCTATGCATATTCTCAAAAGGGACCATGTGTCTATCTCGTTTATTTTGCCTGTTACAAACATATGCACAAAGGCATAATAACCTGTACCACAGTGTGGTGAAGGGTATAACAATGTACTTAGCATGACACGTACGATTAAAAAAACTTCCATACTTTGAAAGCTTCTACTGAAAAACTCACTTTTAAGACTTAGCATACTATGGTTCTGAGGCGTCGATTTATAGGCATGGATTTTAAAAATATGTTTTAATGCTCATTTATAGGCTTGGATTTTTATACCCTACAGAACTATGTTGTCAGGGTGTTATAACTTTGTGCAGCCCCATGAGTTTGTAACCCTGCGAAATATTAGTCCTAGACCCACCTTTAAGTATACCGATCGTCATATCTCGACTAGCTGAGTCGATCTAGATATATGTGTCCGACCGTCCCTCTGTCCATTATAATTTGTAAACACGATACAGGACCACAGTTATGGACCAATCTTCACGAAATTTTGCATGTATGATTAGTTCTGGCCAAAGAAGACCCCTATTGTTTTTGTTAATTTTTGTCGGTTTTTCTGGTCGCTTCAGGGGCCGAACTTGGGGAAATGTTACATGGAGAACGGGATCGGGCAGCATGACCGTTTTGATAAAGATCGCTCAATATTTGGTGGGTCAAATAGACCCTGACTTTTGTGTGAAAAATTACAAATTTTTATTCTCTGGTTGACCTTTAAATTTGACACAAATTATATGGTCGTATGTACTCAGATGTGGAGGTTACACTTAAATATTTACAGGTGCTTACGTACTGAGATATTATTTAGTAACCCATTACCCCACTAGAGGGCGGAAATATAGCGCTGATCGTTTTGAAATTTTTCATGATATTCCAGTTGTGATCAAGGACAACGCCTATAATTTTCGGCCATGATCAGATAATAATTTTGGGTTGAAGTGGATCGAAAACATAATTGTTTGTGTTTTTTTTTTCGAGTCGATCTATGGGTTACAAATAAAAGCCGAACATCAGAACACAACTCACGGTGAAGGTAATCTGGACAAGTAATAAGAAGGGCTGTACTGAATATTAGTAATATTCGGAATATATATCAGTGTAAGGTAATCGGGTAAGAGGGTGCAAATAATACGAAATATTGCCCGGGCTCGATATAAACATCAGCAGAAAGTTAGATCTCCGTGGTGGTTGTGTAGGGTATCGTATGGTCGGCCCCATCCGACTATACATCTCCGCTCACTGGTTTAAAAATATTTTTTCAAGGCTCATTTATAGGCATGGATTTTTTAAAAATATATATTTTTTCATGACTCATTTATAGACGTTATTTTTTTTAGTCCCTTATCCTTTTGAATTAAATATTTAATTGAATATTTTTTTATTTCGATTCGATTACTTAGCATCTCTAAGTGTTTATTATTGTTGTTGTTTATTTTTGTTTTGTTTTTATTTTGGTCCAACCAAAAAAATTGAGCAACACTTTCAACAGTGTATTGACCCAAAACACACAACTACATGTGTATGTGTCATAATAACAAACATTAAATTTGTACATACATAAATATTATTGGCAATACTGAAATGACCAACGGGGAATACATACATTCACGTACATATATATGAAATATAGTCATTGTACAAATATATATTTTTTTTCTGAAACGTTTCTATTTTCTTTCGTTTTTGCTTAAGGCACACGCATAAAAAATATGGGAATGTGATTAAATAAATATTTACAAAATAAAACAGCTCAAGCGAATAATAAAATAATTATAATAAAAAAATTAAAAATAATAATAACACTGCCCGGCCCATTAGCTTTCACAGCAGAATTCATGAGGAATGCGGGTGTGTGCTGTACATATCGAGACGTACAGATGTTGTTGCTATTGACGATTCGACTGGTGTTCATCATCATCTTCACTTCGTCTCTTCCTTGACATCCAATGCCTCATTGACGTAGGCATTATTGTTGCCATTGGCGGCTTTGTGTGTCATTTCCAGTGCCTTTTGTTCATCGGTCTTGGCCCATTCTTGTAATTCACCCGATGCCCACATCCAATAGATAACACAGCCAATTAGATAAATACCGGCAGAAATAAAGAAGACTGTCTTCCATTCCTCGCTGGTTTGATTCACAACCAAATAACCGGTCAACATTGGACTGACAATACCGGGTATGGTGGCAAAGGTGTTACCGATACCCATCAGGACACTGGCATGTTGTGGTGCAATATCCAAGTGGTTGACACTGAAAGAAAAACATAAAGCTATATTTTCAAATATGTTTAGCTGAGTCGATTTTTTAAACATTTGTGTCCGTCCGTCTGTCCATTATAATTTGTAAACACGATACAGGCCACATTTATGGACCAATCTTCATGAAATTTTGCATGTAGGATGGGTTCTGGACAATGAAGACCCCTATTGTTAAAGCTCGGTAAAGATCGGTTAATATTTAGGGGATAAAATTGAACAAAAACTTTATTTTTGTCTGATTTTCTGGTCGCTCCAAATTTTTACATGGGGAAGGGGATCGGGCCAAATAATAAGCATGCCTGTTTTGATAGAGATCGGTCAGTATTTAGCGGGTTAAATGGACCCTTTCTTTTGTGTGGAAAATCACAAATTTTGTAGTCTATGGAGTATATTTCTACTCCTGAAGCACAGAGAAGTGTATGGTGTATCCAAGAGTAGTGGTTGACCTTTAACTTGATACCAATTATATTGTCGTGAGTACTCGGTTGTGGGAGTTACACTTAAATATTTACGGGTGCTTGCGTATTCAGGTATTATTTGGCAACCCATTACCACACTAGAGGGCGGAAATAGCGCTGATCGCTTTGAAATTTTCCAGGAGGTTCCAGTTATGGTCAATGACGACGTATTTAACTTTCAGTGATGATTAGATAATAATAAGCGGACCTAAAACCATTTTTTTGTTTTTTTTTTTCATGTTGATCTATAGGCACAATTATAAGCCGAACATCACCAAATAAACCACGGTGAAGGGAATCTGGACCATTAAATAGAAGGATTGTACTGAATATTAGTAATATTCCGAAAATATTCCGAAAATAGGTCAGTGTAAGGAAGAGGTGCTGTTCACCTCTAATCGGGCAAGAGGGTGCAACTATCACAAAATATTGCTCAGGATCGGAACAAAAAAATCCCCAGAAATTTAGAGTTCCGTGGTAGTTGTGTATGGTATCGTATGGTCGGCCCCGTCCGACTATACTGCCCCTCTCACTGGTTTTTTAGCTATTTTTCGAGCCCTATCTAGAAGTAACTGGCAGTAAATTATCAATTGAAATTATGAAAAATACTTACGCAAATCCAGACCAGGCAAATGCACCCAGGCCCACAGCAATGGTAATACAAACTACCGACCAGGTGGGATCCAACAAATAGGCTGTGAGCACCATGAAAACTGTTTGGGCCAAGAAGGCACCACAATTGAAGTTACGTCTGACTTGGGTGGTTGTCCAAATGCCCTTGACTTGCAGCCAATCGGCCAAATAACCCGATACACCCAATAGGATACCCATGGCAAGATACGGTACGGCAGATAGGAAACCAGTTTTGTCCAAATCAAAGTTGAGGGAATCTACAAACAAAAAATAAGAATTAATTAAATACAAATTTCAATCAAATTTAAAACTACTCACCCTTCAAGAACGATGGCAATTGAGTCAGTAAGGTATAGAAACCCCAATTTTCCGAGAAATGTGATGCTATTATAGCATAAAATGGCAGTGATGTGAATATCGCCTTCCATGGATGTTTGATGTTACGCTGACCGACAACACCGATTGACTTCATAATATAGTCACGTTCATTGGGCGAACAGAAACGATCCTTATCGGGTCCAGAGCGTACAATCAACAACCATAGAATAAGCCAGAGACAACCGATGGCACCGAAGACATAGAAAACACTTTCCCAACCATATGCCGATGCGAGGAGACCCGATGAAGGCATAGCTATGACGGTACCAGCATAATTACCCGCAAAGGCAATGGAAGCCATACGAGATCTTTCGAGGGGTGGCGACCAGCGTGACCATACGGCGTGAATACAGGGGAATGTGACACCCTATGATGGGAAATTTTGATAATTTTTTATTATATATTTATTAAGAGGATGAGAAATATTTTTTGACTTACTTCAAAAATACCTTCGATAATGCGCACAACCAACAAGGTTTCCAAACTATGGTTGGCTGCCAAAGGTGTGAAGAGTGTCAATATCGCCGTGGCTCCAATGCCAATACCAAAGACCTAAACACGAAATAAGTAGTACAATTAAAATTTTTAATCCTATATTGTTTGGATTTAATCGATTTTTTAAGTACTTAAAATTTTTTTTTTTTTTTTTTTTTTTTGAAAATTATCAATTTAAAGAATTTATCAAACTCACCAAATTACCACCAATCTTTGCTCCGATAAATCCACCCAAGAATTGTGTCAAAATATAACCGTAGAAGAATGAACTCAAAATCAGACCCTTCTGTTTCGAATCCCAGGGGAAATCTTGTTCCCATGATTCATTGCCATTCTCGTCGATTACGGTGCGATTTTCTGTCATCGCCACAATGGCCACACTCAAATTGACACGCATCGAATAGACATTGAAGAAACCGAAGAAGGCCAACAAGACCACAATGTAACGACGTTTGCGCCAAAATCTCCATGTTAGCGGCTCATCTTCGACCATGTTGGCACTACAAGAGATGGGAGAGAGAAAAGAAAGAGGAAATTTAATTAGCTGAAAGTTATTTCATCATGCAAAAAAAAAAAACTAAGCTACTGAACTTTACAAACAAATGTTTGTGAAAACAAAAAAAAAAAAACACACACACTTTCAATTTTCTTTGTCAGCTGTAAATTTTTTTTACGAAATGTATATTGTTTGTTTCTTATTTGCCTTGTTTTGGGTTTGTTTTACTCGAGTATTTTTCCTATTGTTAATAACAAGGTCAAATTACCCATTCGCAAGCCATTAATTAGGGTCTTCAACACCACAACCATCATCCTTTGGAGTTAAATCAAATTTGTGTCTAACACTTTCTAGTGGAAGTTGCACCACTATGAGCTAAATGACCATAAAATTAGGCTTAAAAAAGATTTCTTATGACTTAAATAATACTTTTTTGAATAGAGACATGAAAAAATATATTTTTGTTAAATGTTCGATTGGTTTGATACATAAACAAGTAAAATCTCCAATAAGTTCGGTCGGCCAGAATTTTTTATACGCTTCACCATGAAGTGGACTTTCGAAATACCTAAAATCTGTCGGGCGTTAGGCCATGGGAAATTGCTACTAGAGAAGAACGAAATGCCATACAACAGACACTCAGGTTGAAAAATTGAGCTAGAACCTTAAATAACCCGAAAATGAACGCGGGATCTTTATATGGGCGCTATGCCATGGTAAATGGCTGCCAAGAGAAAACGGAATACCAAACTATGGACACTCACTTTGAAAAATTAGACTAGGATCTTGAACCATCCGAAAATGCCCCGTGACCATGGGGGGCTATGTACAATTTTGGACTTGAATTAAACATGATGTTTGAAGCAGTTGAGTGCCCCCTAAGGTCATGAAATGCCAAACTATTTCCACTTCGAAATGTTAAAATATAGTCACTTCGGTTGGAATATGCGACTAGAACCATGAAAATACTTATAAAAAAGTTGATCATTAATTTTGAGGTTACGCCGAAAGATCGACAGATATATGTAATTTTTGGTATAAAGATTTGCTACTCAATGACAACTCAAAAAACGAGTGAGCGGAGCAGTATAGTCGGACGTGCCGACCATATGATACCCTACACAACTTCCACGAAAATCTAAATTTCATGGGAAATTGCTACTAGGAGAAAACGAAGTGCCACACAACTGAAACTCAGGTTGAAAAATTGGGTTAAGACCTTAAATAACCCGAAAATGAACACGTGACCTTTCTATGGTGGCTGTGTAGAAACATGGACTTATGTTGAGAATGTTCTCTGACTTTTATATGGGCGCTATGCCATGGAAAATTGCTGCCAGGAGAAAACGGAATACCAACTATATGCACTCAGTTTGAAAGAATTGGACTAGGACCTTGAACCATTCGAAAATGACTCGTGACAATTTTGGACTTGAATTACAAATAATGCTTGAAGCAGTTATGTGCCCACTAAGGTCCTGAAATGCCAAATTATTTCCACTTCGAAATGTTAAAATATGGACCATGAAAATACTTATAAAGGGGTTGATCTTTTCTTGTGAGGTTACACCGAAAGATCGACAGATATATGTAATTTTTGGTAGAAGGATTTGCTACTCAATGCCTACTCAAAAAATAAACTAGTGAAAAAGTGTTAAGTTCGACCGAGCCGAACTTTGAATACCCTCCACCATAGATATACTGGCAGGTACATGAAATTATGTAAACCATAATGAAAACCATAAACCGATTATGTAAAACATAATGTAAACCATAAATTTTTAATAGAAAATTATACCCTCAGCCTTATGGCTAATTAGTGTGTATTTGTTCTAGACCCCATGTTTCTTTGGACCAAATCCGTTTCAGAAAATTTTAATTTATTCCATCTTATTATTTCTTCCAAACTTAGTTCAAATCCGAATTTGGGGAATATCGGTCCATGCCTTCTGGTACTTCCCACACAGGGGCTACGGCTAGGCCTAAATGCGGGCTACAGTTCACATATAGTTCATTATCGATCCTTACGTTATAGTTTTTTAGTTTTCGGTTGAAAAACGCGCTCAAGAACCTCAAAATACCTAAATTTGGGGGGTACCTTTATATAGGGGGCTACCAGAAAAAAATGGACTTATATTTATAATTTTTAGTGGGAATATTTGGTACCCAATAAGAACCCAATATACCAAATTTCAGCAAATTGGGTTGAAAAACGCACTCAAGAACCTCAAAATACCGAAATTTGGGGGGGTACATTTATATAGGGGGCTACCAGAAAAAAATTGACTTATATTTATAATTTTTAGTGGGGATATTTGGTACCCAATAAGAACCCAATATACCAAATTTCAGCGAATTCGGCTGAAAACGCGCTTAAAAACCCCAAAATACCGAAATTTTGTGGGTACCCTAATATACGTGGGCTACCGAAAAAATGGATTTATATTTATAATTTTCAGAAATGATTATTTCGATGAGTTACAAACGGAAAACAAAATTAATATACCCTCCATACTATGGTGGAGGGTATAAAAAGGAGCCACCTCGTTTGGAAAACGTGTTTGAAAACCCCAAGATACCGAAAATCGGCGATAACGTTATGTAGGGCCTATAGCAAAACGTGGAGCGATATTGTTTGATTGATTGATAATAAAATTTGCTACCCAATGAGAACTAAAAATATCAAATCAGAGTCAATTAGGTTGAATGAACTGGCCAAAACTTAGGAAATTGTAGCCAATCCGAGTAAAAAAAAATGAATATTAGAGAGTACCGTTGGAAATGAGCATTACAAAAATGTTCTATAAAAATTACACCATTAAGGGGACCCCACCATTCTCGGGGTCAAATCTACACTAATTAAAGAATGTCCCTACAAAATTTCAAGTGAAAATCTCAAGAACTCTTGAAGATATATCCGATTTATTGTGTCAACATCAAGTGACGGCTAAAGGGCTTCTCAAACTTTAAACGAGTTTTTCTCTAAACATTTTTTTGCGAATGGCGGGCACGATAACTTAAAAACTAATAATCCAATCGGTTCCAAATTTTGCAACGTTTCTCTGGGAGTGTATATCTCTCGTATGAACTAGGATAAAGCCAATCGGTGAAGATCTTCCTTATTTTTTAACTTGGTTTTTGGTAAAAAATCGGCGATTTTCCAAAAATATTTTGTCAAAGGTCCACCATTTTGTTAATTTTAGAGCGAAGTCTATAATCCTAGTTCATACGAGAGCCACACATGTACTCTTTCTAACACCGTTGGAATTTTCGGATTCCGATGTTCCAGTGAGGAGTTATCATGCCCGCCATCAAAAATAAGGACTTTTCTTTAATTACAAAAAACAACAACAAAACAATAACAAAATTTTTTTGTAAATTATTTCTCTTCTTTTTTAAATCTTCAATTATATATGTGCAAAGTTACAAAACTTAACAAGCATTGGTATTGATTTACCAGCCCATTGAAAATCTTCAAAAATTAAAATCGAGAATGGGTGGGGTTCCCTTAAATGGATTTTTTTTCTTGTGTATTCTCTAGAAAAAAATCAGGCTTGTTTAAGCCTTGGACAAGATATCCTTGAAAGAAATCTACTCTTCTATGGCTTGGAAAAACATTCGTTAGAAAATGTTGGCATTGGATAAATTAAAAAATAAAGTCTTAAAAAATATTTTTATAAAAAAACTACGCTTTGTCTTAGAAAAATGTTTTTATAAAAAAACTACGCTTTGTCTGGTAAGTTCCAGTTTCAACTCGAAATAAAATATGATGCAATACCAAATGATTGATCCATTCCCCTATATAAGTAATTGCACATTTATGTTATAATTAATTTGAAATGTTTTTTTTTATCATCCATCTTATCTTTCTATTAATTTTTATTTTTTCCCTCCCTTATTCATATCAAAATTAAATTCATTTTGTATTAAAAATTAAATGTAAATATTCAAAAGATATGTTAATTTTTATTAATTTTTGATGGCTAACTCTTCAATTTACATTCGCCGGAACGAACTAACCTACCCCAATGTGTTTGCGACCTAACCAAATCAAACCATAACCAACTCTTGGATAGTCAAGCTCATAGTCAGTCTGCCGTTCGTTCGTTAGTCATTCACTTTCGCTTTCACAATACGAACGAGTAAAACCAAACCGATGATGGTGTTTGGTTGCTTGCATGGAGGAAATACGTCGTTCGTTCAATGTTTGCTGTTGTGGTGGTGGTGTTGGGGATGTGGAGTGTGACCACAAACAAACGTTGTTCGAATGTTCGTCAGCTGTTGTGCCACCATACTAATGAATGTTTGAACACACGTGTCGTTTGGTGTGATGATAATACACTCAAACAAATTTTGTTCGTAATAAAATAAAAATACTTAAATTAAGAAATGTATTTATTCAAGAGCCAACAGAAGAACAAGATTGGACAAATAAATGCAGAAGCGATGATTTTTTAATATAAATTTTATATTAAAAATTATTTCAAGACACGTATCGTGATTTTATAATATATTTTCAAGGGCCGAAAGAAACAGAAGATGAATTTTCTTAAGAGCAATCATTATGGATTGTTTAATATCTTTTTTTTTCAAAGTCTCTCGGAATCATAAGCTGAGATTTATCAAAAAAAAAAAAAAATTTTTTACATTATTAATACAAATAACTTCAAATTGAACTGAGAATATGGAACAACCAAAAAAGCAAAAACCATATTTTGTATTTTTCGGCGTTTGGAATAATAAATTGTAACATTCAACACCACACGCTACAATGAATCGACTTTAAAATGTATTTCCAAATTTAACAAAGAGAAAATTGACGTAAAAATTCACTCACGTGCCACGGCTGTATTTTAAACGTTCATACATACACATGTATGTATATAAACTTGCTTAAGTTCATTACCAATATTGCCTGTCGATATATATTAAATAACATTTATTTTTGATGGATCTCATTTGGTTTATTATACCCTACACAACTATTTGGCATGTAGGATGGGT